CTTCACTTCACATTGTACTTCTTGCTTGCGACTTGACTATCAGCTTCACTGCCACTACTTCAACGGTTAATTTTCAATTAACTGTACGCTTAAACTTGCATTCCGGGGGTCCAGTAGGTTCTCAGTCAAGCAGTCGACGAGGGAATGCTTTAGCACTATTTTTGTCACTTCATTTCACGTTGCAGAGAACAAGACTGTTTTTTTCCCTCTCAGAAACTCTCGTTTCACAATAAGGTACGCATAGCACACATAACCGAAAATTGCTCGACTGCTCGCACATATAAAAACTAATGCACTGAATAGTTATATAGAAATATTTTGATGTTTCGACAAAACTGTGTCGCGCTTGCGGGATTTTGGCGTAACACCGCACATCGGCGCAGATTGTTGCTTATGACGGTGTGGACAAAGTTCAGTAATAACGCGTCCTGCATTTTTCTACGACCATCGGTCTGTCTCAGTGGGCACACTGCATATGTGATTCAGAAATGACAAAGTTTCCTGCAGGTCCAGTGGCACAGTTCTTTGTTTATACTCCTGACGCGTGATCGCATCAGCTGCTGCAGCGAGTACAGACGAAGGTTAATCAAGTTTAACGTCGAATTCGTTTCCGCCGCAACAGTTCATCGATGCTGATCCGGCGGCCAGAGCATAAGTTTGGACGCAGGCTCTTTATTGGCCACAGAACAGCAATAATACGAGAGAAGGGTGATCCAACGTCCGTGCCTTTCGCCTGCAGACCGCTGTCTTTTACCTGATGCAGTTCCATTGCTCAGTTTTACGGTCAGTTTGCGGATAATATGAAACTTTCACCGGAGCTTGAGTTCAATTCCTCAAGTGTGCCAGATAAACACGAAATCGGCGATGAAACGTGATTATACAGTAATATGTTCTATAATGTAAACAAACGTATCCTTTGACGTTTATGCGGTAACAACGCAGCACACAAATTTGTATAACAAGAAGAACAATGGAATTGTGTCAGTACACGAGTGAAGAAGTTCAAATGACAATGGGCAGGATCTGCTGTAAGAAGAACCTGCCATCGCTGACAGGGAGACATTAGATTGGGTTCTGATAGACACCATACAGCCTGTAGGAAGACTTGCATATCGATGGCTAGATATGCTTAGTAAGTTCGTTCCATCAATGTGGATAAACGTAAAGGTAAACAGAAGTTTATGGCAAAGTGCTGAAAAAGCTTTCATCTAACAGTTAATCAATAGAGGCTGATGCAAATGATGAGGTTCAACTCTCGAAATATCGATAATGATGAGGTCGCCTTAGCGAAGAAAGCGATGTGAGGTGCATGTAGCACTGCAGGTGCTTAAATACCATTGAACTTGTTCTGTTTAAACGGTTCTCTCTAAACTTAGGAGCAAGAAGTCCCGTGCAGTTTGCCGTGACACAGTCTAGTTTTGCGAAAAATTTGGGTCCGCACAAATTCCAATCTACTGTATTTTCCAGGGGTAAGAGCCAACAGCATGCCGAGACTTTGTTACTGAACATGCTGTCATGAAGCTTAACTTCGTGTTCATTGCAGAATGAACAGCTGTGCAATCGAATTTCTGTGACGCTCAACTCCGCCATTGCGGTTCTAAGTCTCGATGAGCAAAGAGGAAGGTTGGAGTTTGTGGCGAAATCTCCGCCAAATTAATCCACTTGCCCTTGAAGGTATCTCCGACATCGAAAATTAAACAAGCTCGGTCGTCGCCCGGGTTACTGACGGCCGTACAGGCTGTTGGAGGACTGAGGTAGACAGCAAAAAGTCGACGATTAAAACCTCCTCGTTGCCTTCTGCCAGACGAGGGGGCAGTAGCAGCACATCAATGGCTGACTAAGGTCGAAGGAACGACGACGAAGGTGCTAACCAGCAAAGGAATCACCACCCATTCTGAACGGAGGAGGCAGACAACGCGATACCATTATAGTATGTCAGAAAAGGCTCCACGGGAAGGACACCGCCAGTCGGAAATTGGAATATTTCCTCACGCAGGGGAAAAACATTTTAAGGTGAGGTTTGTCTTCAACCAAGAGTGTTTCAATTGCTGACATACGTCAGTGGGAGCTCAGCACTTTGTTCAACTTTGGACAAGCCGCGCGAAAAGTCTTGTAATAGGAATTGAAGATAGAAGGTTGAAAGCTTCTTAGAAAAGGTTCCTCAGTGTTGAGATTGATGGTCTGTCAGCTGACGGTGCGGAGCAAGTCTTCACATCATAAGTAAACATTTTGGGTATTCGTCCATACTGGCAAAAGGTGTGTAGTGTGCTTGTAGTCCTAAGTACCAAAGAAAATCAGTAACAGCAAAGCTGGATGCGGTAAAATACGAAAAATAACCATTCAAAATTTGGTGTATGCAGAATTGACTGCTCTTTCATCGCCGCTGTCGTTTGCATCGATAGCGTTTAACTGTGTGTATCACATGAGAATTCGCTCTTGAGTCGCTTTCTGGGAATTTCGTTCCTTTTCAACGCCACTGGTGCGAAGCACCTACGCGTTCCTGTCAAGGAAAGTCTAGAGAAGCTTGGCATATTGACGCCTAATCACGGCAGTGCGAAACATCGACTGGTTCGTACAAGCATAGAACATAGTGCGTAGCTTCCTGCTCTCTTCCCACAGAGTGGCACTCGCTTAGCAACCTCCGAATGACCAAGGGCGAATGACCCTCAACGGCGTTCGATCCCGGGATCTCTCAGTTCTGAATCAAACGTTCTACCAACTGACAACCCGTACCTGAAGAAACTTGCAGTAAATTCTTTTCTTAACGGAATTTGTTATTGGAACCAAGATCGCCGTCCACCGGAAACGAACTCGGTCCCTGCGCAGTTCGAAGCCGACCTCTTGGACACAGTGCTGCCACGCCACGATTGGTGGATGTGTTGGTAAACGTTATTGCAATTTAGTCGTTGAACTTAATGCTAACTTTGTGTTTCGAATCAGTAAAGTAGTGTCTGAACCTCATGCAACAGTTGACAGCGGCCATCAGAGAGAATATGTATGTTATTGCTCTTTAAATGATGCAATTAGGTCCCACAGTATTCTCCTCCACTGAGCTAGTGAAAGTGTTCATGTCACAAGTGATCTTCCAATAAAACTAGATTTATGATCCTATTTAAATCCAAATGCCTGATTTTACGATGGAATGATTTTTTCAAGGTATCAAAAGTGACCGACTTGCTACATGGAACAAGTTTCGCATTGCGTTTTAATTTGCGCCTTTCGTATAGGACTTTTTTAATTTATTTTCGACTTTTTCAACCGAAAACGAAAACCACCTCCCGTTGAGCGTGGAGATGATTAAGTAGCTAAGTAAATCTCTGTACCTTGTTGCAGAACGACGTATTGTACTTAGTCTGTACCGACATGGCTTCACTTCTGATCTAAAATTCTCTTGCGAGAAATGCAGGGTAAAACCCTTTAGGTCGCTCCTGCGCAGGACTTTCTGCCTGCATTTGAAGGTTCCTTGACTCCGTCCTTATCGGAGCATCCTCCTTTCAGTTTCAGTAAGTTGTCTGACTGTGAGGTTCTGCAAAACGAATCGCGTTTCTAGACTGTAGGTTCTACACTGGTTCATAATGTTTTGAACTGACTACTTCATGTAACATTATGTTTACGATTTTCAGTTAAAAGTTTAATCGTTTTCTTGGTTGCTGAACAGCCTGAAATTCAACGTATCATTTGTATAAGTTATTTAAGTTATCATCTAACATAACGGCGAATTG